GCAGGCTATCCCTTGCTGAGTGGCTAAGAAGCATTTGTAACTCTTCCTCTTTGCCAGTCTCATTTGTATTGTGACTCAGTTTTAGTGGTGTACATTTATAAGGTGATAGATCTTGAACTTTATTTCAAGGCTTACTGAGATAAACTGCAACGTTTCACAATTGCTCAACCTCAGACAGCTGGACCATTTATTTCAGTGACATAGAAGATACAGTTTACATTTTTTCCTCTATGTCTCCCTCTGATTTGGGTTGTTCCTAGGTATTGAATTCAGGTGTCCTGTATGCCATTACTACAAAATTGCTGGCTTTTATAACATCTTTCCTTGGGTACCCATTTTCTTTCAAATTTTCAGGAAAGGCCTTCTGGTAAACTCTGAGGGGAATTATGTTCTTTTCTTCTTCACTGTCAGGTTTCTTGGCTTATTTCTCAATCTCTTCTCCACCTAAATGGTTGTAAGATTTTCTTTTTCTGTGAGAACTGTTGTATTCTGCCATTTCATTCAATTGTATAGCTCCAGTGCCTATTGTGTTCCCAAGCACTCATCATCAATCAGAATAAGAATTTTCTGGTTCTTTTTATTTCTCATTTCCTTTTTATCCTCTGGTAATTCATTTACCATTCTCTTGCTTTGTTCCGCATGTTTTCCCACCGATTTGACTTTCTTGATCTCTACAATTCAATCCATAGATGAATTTATGTCCACAGCTCTTGCGCATCTTTTCTCTATTTGGTATACATTCGTTTTTTTTTCCTGTTTCACACATCAACTTTGCTGCCTTTCCCTTGGCTTAAATGAAAGCTAGCCATTTGGCTGAAAGCAACTTCATCTGTCGACTTGTGGTTTCTGATAGTGAATACAGCCTGTGATATTGTGAGCAGTTTTTCTCTCCCTTGCTTTAATAAATTGGTTAAATTTTATTGGATTTTTACTCATAATCAGTCACTGCCACTGTGTCTTTTGATTGCTACAAGATAGAAATAATCACAATTCTGACTCAAAATGCTAGAGTTTCATTTAGTGTATTTCTTGCAACTTTTTTTTAAAAACTTCACCTATTTTTCTAATCAAACTATTCAGAGATGTTATTACACACATCAGGAGCAGGTGGAATTTGAACCCAGGTCTCTCAGCCCGGTAGCAGGGATACTACCACAGTAACTCTCTATGTGCTGTTGGACTGATAAATTGATGTATTGTTACTTGCCATGTGACTCCAATGCAACAATGAATGTGGCACACTGGGGTATATATACATTCACATAACAATTAGCTCCTTGTCCTTTACAAGTAATATAACATTAGAACAGATGTATTGTCATATGATGATTTCATATTTATAAGGAAAAGTCAGCTACTTCCTAAGTAGACAGGAAAATTTGAAAAACCTTGTAAACAGGTGTTGCTTTCATGCTGTTGTATTGGCATTGACAGTGCAATAGAGATGATGATGTTCTATTCACTTTAGTGAAAGGCACAGAGATGGGATTTGAAAAAAAATGATTTGCTGGAAAAATATAAGAAATACCAATAACACTTCTTTACTCATTTGATAATTAACTGTATTTTAATGTTCTCTCAGAACTTTATAATTGTTTTTAGATTGAAAAGTATTGTTTGTCATATTGAACTTCCTTATTGGCATGATTGCTAAAAAGTAACATATAACAGAGGTATACAAAGTGTTCTCAGAATAAATAGATACTTGATCTCAGCTGGAGTTGCTACAATAGTGTTCCAATTTCCTGTGCTAAGGGGTGGGGCGTGGTGAAGCATTCAACGAGGTTCCCATTTCTAATCATTATATTGCAATTTATATATGTGTACACTTTGGGAGAAGGGACGACTAAGCTTAACCCTAATAGTTGATTTGGAAAAAATAACCTACTGGCACTCATTGTTTGGCTTAAGATGTGAAGAGTAGATGAATTACTTTGTGGTGGCTAAAACTGGAAAATTAGTGGCAATGAGTAATTTCAAAAGTCAAAATTATGACTAAACATGATGAGAAAGGTTAGAGGTGTAAGAAGATATAGTGTATTTCAATTTTAGTTCAACTTGGCCATTTTTATATTGTTTACTGTAAAAACTAACGTGAAGGGAAGATAATTTATCACTAACATGTAGAAGAAGAAACCATTTTATATCCTGCATTAACTACATATATTAATCAAGGTGCTGTATTAAGTAGTGATGAGTCATGAAACAGATGATTGATTATCAAGATTCATTACTTTTATAATAAATCAATGTAATCAATATTAATTTTAGAAAGGCTGTGGATTCATTCATGTATTAATAATCATTGTATAAATTAAAAATTCTCTTTCTCATGGGAAAGTGCAGTTTCTAAGGAGGTTTTGTTTTGGAATGCTGACAAAAGTCTGAGTCAGTACACCTTGATCTTGTAAGAGTCTAACTTGAATAGTTTCGTAAAGTCAGATTGAGCAACAGAGAAACTTAACTTGATTTTAATCCTGTTGGAGATACAAAGGATAATATAGTATTAGGAAAGGAGGTACTAAAGATAAATGACCAAACTTACCTAGCAACAGATAGAGCTGGTCATTAGAATAAACAATAGTCTAATTCTGATATAAGTTGTTCATACAAGGTTTAAAAATAGGAGTTCTGCAAAATGTTTTGTTGTTTGCCAGAATTTAAAGTCTCCAGAGTATGAGTTATGTGTTAATCCACTCAAGCTGTTTGACACCAGACCAAAGAGCTGAGAAGGTGAATCCTTCACTGTAGGAAGTGACCTACACAGCAATGGAATGTGTAACTGCCTAACCTGTTCTTTGTTCTAAGTTTATAAAAGTATATCCTTCTTTCAAAAAAACTTTCTAAAAGTTGTGATCCAAAGAGCCCTTCTGTCTTAATCGGTTAAGTCCTGTCTGAAAAATTATAGATTTATTAAGTCACTTATAATTGCTGGCAATTGGAGTGGCTGAAATCAAGTGTTTACAATCTGAGCAAATTGGACCGGTATCTAAAATATCAACAAATTGGCGACTCTGGAAGCAAGACCAGACTAAAAACTGAACATTTGATCAGTTAAAGTGGACTAATGGTCTAAAGACATGCCTTTTTCTTTTTGTGCTTTTTAAAAACAGTGAACTGAAATGAGAAATAACTGTTTTGAAACCCAGGTATTTATAAGGAAGGCTACATGTTTTGAAAGTAAGTAATTTGATACCTACTGTGAACTCTGTCGTGTAACTACGGGTTCTATCAGATGAATTGGAGCTGAAACGTTGTTTACAAGTGTTGCTGATTGGTTTGTGGACAAGGAAACAG